GGAGGAGGAGAGGGGCATATATAAATTGAACCCCTTTAAAATCTGGTAAAAAAAAAACCCCCCCAAAATAAATAATGGGCCCAAGAAAAGTTTACAAAAAAAAAAGAAACCTTTTATAGCACTTTAAAAAAAAAAAGAAAAAAACCCGAAAAACAAAAAGTAAAAAACACCATGGTAGAAGGTTTTTTTTGTTTTTTTTAAAAATTCCAAATTATAATTTCCAAATGGGAAATAAGAGAAATTTCAAATTTGAAATTGGGAAAAAATTCTTCTTCCCCCCCCGCAAATTCCAATTCAAAAAAGTCAAGGGGATTTGTTCCAAGGCCTGAAAGCCCTTTGGGTGAATCCAATCCCTGCCCTTGGCCCCCCCCCTCCCCCAGAGTGCCTAGGGAAAAAATTTAAAACAGGTTTTGGTGGGGGACGGGCCACAACCTGGGGGGGGGCAGGTATATACATACATAATGAGTGAGATGTGCACCATCTGGGGGATGGTCATGATGGAGACTCAGACTTGTGGGGGGAGGGAGGAAATTGGCATTTATTGAAACCTTAAAATCTGTACCCCCATAATATGCCAAAAAAAAAAAAAAGATGGACATCATTTTTACAGCATGATGGCAACATGAGGGTCCCTACAACTTATCATTTCAGAAAAAGAATAATGTATCTCGTCTCCATGGAGGAATAACAGATCTGCTGATTACGTGTGAGTATGTCTGACCCTGGGAAATGTTAGAAGTCGGTTACAAAGGGAGGTGATGAATGACTTTCTCTTTCCTACTGCTGATATTGAATAGACATCTTCAAAAAAGTCTTCTTATGCTGGCCGAGTAGAAGAGTTTATATGTGAATTTATTAGGACATTGATTCTACATCCTCACCTAACCTAGCTGGTGACCTTACTGATACTCTTTGACCAGGTGATACTGTGGAAAGGTACTGAGGTGTCAGCCAGAGCTAATGGAGAGACTTGCTAAATAATTAAGTCTCCAAGACCAAAGGGTAAACAGAAGAAAGAAAAGTGACACCAGCTATGTTGGCATACAAAGTGCCTACTGCCTTCTCCCTCTTCTAACAAGGCTATTACCCCAACCAGGAAGCTCTCACTGTTACAAGGTTGATTAGGTGGTCTCTATCCCTTCCCAATTCCCCTAATTTTGTAAAGTGGAATGTAAGGTGGGGGGTTCCTCTCAGGAGCACTTCGGATGGTGAATTCAACTATGCTCGGTCTAAGTATACCTCTCTATGAAATTAATGTACCCTCTACTGCTTTTTAGATTGTAATGTTTCCTCTACAAATCTACCTTCTACTATAATTTGGGTCACTAGCAATATGCCCCTTATACAACAATTAAGTGAAGAAATTAAAAAGTTCCTCTAGAATTTTTAATGATAATATAAATTGTCATTTGTAGAAGTTTATTCTGATAAAAATTGGAAAAAAACAAAATATTTTAAAAGCTTTTTATTTCATAATTAGACAATCCCTTTTCTTCACACATAATACCTTCTTTGACCACTCAATTTAAATTATCCTTCCCTGTGACTATCAGATAGGGAGTTTATCATCATTTATTACTCTCTACAATTATCTTGTTCATTTATTTTTACTTGTTTATTTCCTGTCTCTCCTATTATAATGTAAGCACCGCAAGAGAAGGGATCTTATCTGTCTTATTTTTCAATAAAACTCAATACCCAAAAGAATATCTGGTATAGAAAGGTGATAAAAAATGTGTTGAATGAATGAGTTGAGTTTTGTGAATAAATTAATGAGTAAATTTAACAGTTAAATTTACTTTAACAGTTAAATCTTCTTCATCTAATTGATGAAGAAGAAATAGACATGTATCAATACTCTTTTTTGTATGTTTTTGTGCTTTATAACAAACCTAAGTAGTACTGGGGAGAATAAAGTCCTAACAAAAGGATTTAGAAAGAAGTAGGTTGGATGTGTAACTCCTAAAAGTAAACGTCAAGAATTAGTTCATATTTTCATTTCTAAAATGTGTGAATTTCAATACTGTAGAACATTTAACCACTTCAGGACGGCGCTCACTGGCCACGAAACCTCGCCCACAGCCGGCACTCATAGTCCGCACGACAGTCTGCGCTGTGCATTGACGACGAATACGTTTTGCTCTTGTGTGATGAGGAAAGCTTTAAAGCACTGAAAGCTTGTTTTACTTTACAGGCAGCTTTATTTATAATGTAAATCAGAATAGGTAACATAGACATATATGTTTTCATTATGTTATTTTTAAATGTTCACAATTTTATTTTGATAAATCAAAAATTAGAAAAGTCAATTCAAAATTATAGACCAAAGTTGATGCTCGGCTGTGCGCGTTCATCTGTGGTTATCAACTATAGCCTACACTCATACCAAAGGGGTTAAGAAAAGCTAACAACACATACTATGTCAAACAATAAATTATTAAAATCTATTGTTTAACTATTTGCCACTAACTCATTCCCTAAGCCAAATAAATTGCTCAATGTTGTAAAGTGCAAAAAAATGTACTTTATTATAAGCAATACCACATATCCTCAGGTGGGGTCACCTTACTTCGCTCCCATCCACTCAGTGAAGGTTTGGGAGACTTTTCCAAAGTATTTTAGAAATTCTATTAGGATCTAAGAAATAAACCAAAATGAAGGTTGATGAATAATATTGTGACATGTGGTTAATAGTCTGAATTTTTATTATATTTAGCAATACTTAACCTAAAGTTGTTACAGGCAATTCTATAAAACCTATAAAGCTGAAACAATCTATTTCATGTCACATTTACCTTTGGTCCTTAGTCTAGAATCCAAACTAAAATGAATTACTGGCCTTTCTCTGAGCACACTGTATATATTTTAAATACTCTCATCTTTGCCTCAAAGCAAAGATCTGTCCACCTGGAGCACCTTTTCCTCAAATTCCCGTTAAAATCCAACCCAACCATCTTTCTTAAATTAAATGCTATGTAATTCTCTATCCAGTCAAAAATAACTTCTCCTCCTTTTTGATATAGCTTCTTGGTAACTTTTTATTGAATGCAATTTCTACGTTATACTCTACTTATTTTTGTACATGTCTTATATGCCTTATTGGATTGTGAATGCATTGAAGTTAATGACCATATATTTGTTAACCTTTACACCCCATAATATCTAGCACAGTGCCTTGCACAGCATGGACATTCAGTCAATGTTTCCCCATTAGAGCTAAGTTAAATTGAAATGAATTGAAATTATCTTCCTCCTGAAGTTAGGGAACATTATTATATCAATCAATATTTCTTTAAAAAAAAGGCATTTAAGAGGAATTATCTGATATTCATTCTATGATGTTTTCTCTGATCTTGAGGTTCTATGTTCCCTAATATCCTGTCTATTCTTCCCCTTCAAATCCTTCTTCTAGTCTATCACTTCCCATTATAACTGTAAAATGTGACTTATCAGAAAGTAGAATGGGGGATGGCAGGGGTAGTAACTCACAGTGATACTATCATAACCCCTCTTCAAGATTTTTCCAAGGGCTCATGGAAAATAACTGAGGCTACCTTACTTTGTCTTCATAGAGACTAAGGATAGTGTTTCAAATATTTTTTAAGCCAATATTTCTACCTTATGAGATTTACCAACTGTACAAAGAGCCTATCACATTTGTCAGTAGCGACTAAATGTTCAAAATTAAAACAACTTATATCAAAAGTTACCACTTCATGTTCTTCAAAGTGATATGTTATTGGCTTCCAACATTTTCAAAGGCTACCCTTCACCATGTTTCTAGTAAAAATTACAGTAGTATGCCATGTGCCATGTTCTACCATAATCTGAACATGAATATAAGAGCATCATGCTTTCTTCCTATTTCTACACACTTCATAAGAAAGTTAAGTTCCCATTAATGTTAAAGACAATTACTAATACTTTTTCTTACACCTTCTCAAATATTCATAATGTTGACCATATATATTTAAAATGTAAAGGAATAAATGACAAGAAATCAACCATAATAAGCCTGTAAAGCAACAAGTAAACCAATGTGTGATTTTCTCTTGAGATAATAAAAATACACACTTTTAAAATATAAATAATCACTACAAATATTTAAAATGGACCTTTTCAAACTTCTGGCCATTAATCATTATACTTATTAACTAATTCTTGCTAATTATCTGGGTCTATAATATAGAAATATTAAAAATGATAATGAAGCACAGAAATGCATACTTCTAGGTAATTCTTTCTTCTTTTTTGCATGGCAATCAAAACCTAAATCTTACACATTAAGCTTTGTATATTAAGGAATAAGTGACTCATATACATTTAACTTGAATTCTCAGTAATTCCTGCCAATGACTTTTATTATCATTGGATAACAACCTAACTCATAACTGACAGAATTTGCTGCCCTACTAACATATCTGCCTCAGGCTTACTGTTCATTCACTAAATAAGCTTGTGAATCAATAATCATAGTCAAGCAGACTTTCTCAGTAGTGAACACTTAAGAGTCAATTGGGTGAATAATCAACTCAATTATTTATATGCATAAATGTATAATATATATGGTGACTGACTAAAAATGAAAGGCAACAAATGTTCAGTTGAGATGCATGAACAAGATGCATCTAGCTCATGCATCTTAATGGCAATTAAATTCAAAATAAGTGTCAATTCATCACTATCTGGAAATTTTAATTGCTTCCATCAGAAAAAAGAACACAAAAAACTGTGTTTATACATTAGACCTGGCCCTTAGTTTAAAATTTTCATTTAAAAATTTTGATTTTTGACTGCGTCCAAACTCTTCAATTGTTAATATCTGAAGTTTCAAACATTTTCTATTTAAAATTACTTTCAAAGAAAAGAGTACAATACTATAAGCAAAAATATAAATCAACAAGTTTTATGACACAGAATTTAGATGGCTATTTTTTATCACTTACATGTGTGAACTGATAAAGATTAGAAAAAGATAACACAAATTTTAAAAAAATATTTTACCTTTCTTCAACAGGTCTTCCGCTTTGGATAACTGAGATCTGCGATAAATATAATAATAAATTTAAATATACCGAATATATACATAAAATGTTTGCATTAAATCATTTGGAAAGATACCATTCAAAACAGTTTTTGAAAACGACAATTTTATAAGATTAAGGTATCAAAAAAGCCAAGAAATTATCATATTTTGGCATTAGAAGAGACATTATAGAAGAGGAACAGGTCCCAAAATTACATTTCTAAATTAAGAACAAAGAGGGTTTTATATTTTTACTAAATAAAAATTTTTTAAGCTTATCTATTACATAATTATCTAAGCCTTTTAAATATTTTGTTGAAAGGTTTATGATGCTAATATTATATATATGAATATGATAGTACTTTTATAATTTACAAATTTTAAAAGAGTATATTGAGAATGCATGTTTAAAATATTTTTATTGAAGTATGTGATCAAAAATGTTAGAGGCCAGTGACCTTCAAAGTATGATTTTTATTAATAAATTACCTCTTGTGAATATAACACATATTTTCCTATAGTATAAATGTTGATTCTAGGTTCTATTCCAGACTTGAATTTCATCGAATTCAGTATCTTTTATACAGACATTAACTAGCTTTATCCTTACCTACCTGTGGGGAAGACTTCTACATGCTTACCAAACTAATTTTCTTTTCTTCATAAGCACATTGCTAGTCTCCATTTTTAAGTTCCTCCTACAGTTAAATGTGGCAAATAGAATGTGAGAGAAAATGATGTACACCTCTTCCAAACTGGTCAATGAAAATTACTCATTTTGGGTCTCTATATTCTTTTCTGATAGCTGAATGTCTATGCCCAGTGTGGCTCACAAAACCACAAGATGGCAAAAACTCCATGCCAGGATATTTAATGACCTTGTAGAGTAGAACTCCCTACCATGAACACTGACCTTGAACTTCCTTGGACTACTGACATGAGGAAATAAACTTCTATTGTGTTTAAGCCATTATACATTTTATATAATCTATATATCACAAGAGTTAGCCTTGCATTAATATTAACTCATATATCACCAGGCATTTTCATACAGCCTGTGAGGAGAACTAGGACAGGCTAAATAGTGATGCAATGTCACATTTACACAGTACTTTGCAATACACAAAAGCAGTTCACAAACATTATTTCATTTTATCCTCACAATATTCTTATAAGGTATTATCCTCAATTAATGGTTTGTAGATAATTATGAATAATTCCTGACAGAAATAATAATAGCTCTGGCCCTCCCTCTAATTTAAAAAGACCACTATTCTAAATAAATACTTTTAAAAACAGGTACAAAAAGAAAAAAAAGGAACTATGTGTTAAGTTTGCTCCAGATAGGAACCCGAAAAGTATGTATAGGACAGAATGTGGTTAACACAAAACTTAGGCTTGTAAAACAATAACCACAGGAGTCTGGACAGCCCCGGGACCTTGTAAATCTAACAGACAGCTGCACCCAGCATTCCTTCCCCCTCCCTCCCTGATAGAGACAAAGTTTATCCCTTCCTAGTTCTCTGGATAAAGACGAAACCAGAGCTGAAGGATGGATGTGACTGGGGCAGGGGTCCTAGGAGCTGGTTGTTTGAAAAATAATTAATTGCAAATGGCTGTTCTGGCCCACTTACTTACTCCCCCCAGAAAAACCTTCTATAAAACCCAATGCTCTCCCCTTTCTCTCAGGGACACTTTTTCGCCTCCACCCATCTGCACCCAAATGCTCAAAATAAACAGCATTTTGCCACACATGAGGCTTCATGCATCTCTCTTGGCTCTGGACCTAAAACTATGTTTTCTAATATGTCATTAAGATATACACATAACAGACATTTTGTGTGATATAATCTAATGTATAGTAAGAGTTCTAGAGAGTTCCCTCCTCCTCCCCCTCCCGCTCTCGGCTCTGACCTAACAGGTTTATCTGAGCCAAATATGTGTGATGGGCCTGGAGCACATGGCCTCAAGAAGTGCTAAGAAAATGTGCCCACAGTAGCTGTGTTATGTGTTGGTTTTATAAATCCATGGAGACAGGCATTACACATAATATCTGAAGTCAATACTTAGAGATCATACTTAGGTTTGGCCAGAAAAGACGGGACATCTCAAAGTGGGAGGTTAGGTGGAGGGGCTTACAGGTTATATGTGGATTTAAAGGGTTTTTGATTTGTAATTGGTTAAAGAAATGAAGCTTTGTCTAAGGGGTCAGAATGGTTTTTTTTTTATTTCGGCATATTATGGGGGTACAGATTTTAAGGTTTCAATAAATGCCCTTTGAATGTTTTAATTTAAGATAAGCAAGTCTATTAATCAGAGAGAAGCCACCAGACAGTTACCAAAACTCAAGAGATCTGTTAAGTAAATTGATGGCCTGCAGATATAGTTTAAGCTTTGTCTTGCATAGCTGTAGGCCTGTTAATGATTTAGTATCTTATCATCACAAAGAATATCTCTAAAAAGGGAGAGGGAGGCATGGGGAGGCATGTCTGATTTTCCTTCTCATGGCTGGTAGCTCAGCTTTAGGGTTTTTCTGAGGTCCCCTAGGCCAAGAGGGGGTCTATTCAGTCAGCTAGGGAGCTTGAGATTTTTAGTTCACATTAATGAATAGGATATGGCAAAAGTGATAGGATGTCATATCTCTGACTAGGTTCATTCTGTCTCTGGTTCTTTCTCTCCCCATCTCTCTCCATCTGTTTATCTCTCTGTATCTCTCCTGCCATTACTTCCATTTTGTAGTCTGCCTTATAGCGAGGCCCTCATGACAAGGTACTGGTGTCTCAAGCCAGCAGCCAGCCAGGACCTGAGGTCTCACAAGAGTGAAATGAGTACATGAGTGATCTTGGAAGTACATCCTCCTCCAGTTGGATTTTAAGATACATGCAGCCAAGACCAACACCTTGAATATATCCTTGTAAGAAACTCTGAGCCAGAGGACACAGCTAAAGCACACTAGGATTCCTGACCTACAAATATTCTGAGATAATACATGTTTGTTGTGCAGGCCACTAAATTTTGGCATAAATTATTATACAACAAAAGATAACTAAAATAGTGTTAGGTTTGTTCCAGGTGGGAACCTGAAAAGTGTGTATAGGATGGAATGTCTTTAATGGAAAATTTAGGCTTATAAAACAATAGCCACAGGAGTATGGAGAGTCCATAGGTTGTGAAACAGACAGCTGTGCCAGCATTCCTATCCCCTATAGGATCAACCTATGGGGGATAGGATGAACCTACCGCCCTTCCTTATCTCTGCAGGATAAAACTGATGCAGGGGGTCTCAGAAATTGGTCATTTAAAAAAAATTTTATTACAGTTGCTGTTGTGGCCCAGGTACTCACTTCCCCCCTGGAGAGACTCTCTAGAAAACCCAAGGTTTTCCCTCCTTTGGGATGGATGCTCTTTGGTCTCCACTCATCTATACCCAGATGCTCAAAATAGATAGCATTTTGCTACATATGAGGCTTTGTGTGTCTCCGTGTCAGCTCCAGACCTAACAAACAGTACTTTTTGTTCTTCATTTATATTTTATTTTATTTTAATTAAATTAATTAATTAATTTTATTTGAGCATATTTCAGGGGTACAAATGTTTAGGTTACATATATTGCCTTTGCACCACTCATGTCAGAGCTCCAAGTGTGTCCATCCCCCAGACAGTGCGCGCTACACCCATTAGGTGGTGAATATACCCATCCCCCCTCTTCCCCCCTCAGATTTGCAAGACACTAGATGAATGTTACTATTATATGTGCACTTAAGTGTTGATCAGTTAATATCAATTTGATGGTGAGTACACATGGTGCCTGTTTTCCCATTCTTGTGATACTTCACTTAGTAGAATGGGTTCCAGCTCTACCCAGGGTAATACAAGAGGTGCCAGATCACCATTGTTTTTTTTTAACCATATAAATTTTAGGCAACGGAGAAAGAGTGTTTCGAGCAATAAGAACAAAATATGTCAAATACCCAAAGATACAGAAAACATGGTATGTTTTATGAACTTAAAGAAGTGTAGCTAAATAAAGATTCTACTGTTTAAAGGTTTTGTTTTTATAAAAGAAAACTCAATGACATAAATAGTACATAAATTGCAGTATATAAATTGTAGTACATAAATTGCAATAAGTCACAAAGTGCCAATGCTGGATAAAAGGTCAACTCTTCCACATTTTGATATCCCCTTATTCCTTCAGGATATCTTATGAATTGACTGTGACCATCTGATATATGATTGATGAGCATGCCAGTGTCAATATTTATATAAAATATTAGTAAAGCTTAATTTTTCATATAGATGAAAATAACATAAATTGATCTCATATGTTTCCCTATACCCCTATGATGGGAATTATAGATAGTGTGATAAGTATCAGCCTGGCTGGTGGGTAAAAAGGTTTCCAGTCTTGGTGAACTGGAGGTTTCAGTTTTACCATGCATGCAGGGACTGGAGACAATGTCTTTAATTTATGCAAGGCAAGCAGTAGGAGCCAAAATCCCTGCAAAAAGCCAAGATTTTCAAAGAGTTGCATATATAGAGCAAGAATTGAAAAGTTCCATCCATTAGCATAATATAGCAATAAAGAAACTTCTCCATACACAATGAGTGCGATGCGCACTATCTGGGGGATGGACACACTTGAAGCTCTGACTCAAGGGGGGAGGGGGGAAAGGGCAATATATGTAACCTTAACATTTGTATCCCCATAATATGCTGAAATAAATAAATTAAAAAAAGAAAAAAAAAAAAGAAGTGTAGCTAAAACACACAATGTATGTTACATATGTGCATATGAAAGCACATGCAATGGCCTGGGGAGCCAATTAAAGATAAGACTAGAGACTCAGGAAAGGACCAGATCTGACAAAGCCTTCAACTATAATAGTAATTTGTACTTCAACTTAGAGTAATGGGAATCATTAAAAACTTTAGGCAAGAAGGGAATATAAACAGATACCAATTTTTGAAAGATGACTAGACACCAATGTGGAGAATACACTGAAAATAGTTAATTCTGGAGAGAGGGAAACCAATTAGAGACTCAGTGGCAGCTTAACTAAAAGACCTGTCAGTAATATTGAGAAAAATGGACAGAATTTGATGGCTAATAATTGGATCAAGACATAGGAACAGAAGAGACAGCAGTGATCCCAGAGTTTCTAGTTTCAGTAATTAGGTAGATGAGGATGTCAGTAAACTAAATACTCAGAGATAAAACAAGTCTGAGAAGAAAGTAGTTAGTTCATTTGAGGACATGTGAATTCTAGATGCTTACAACCCATTCAAGTAGACAAGTTCAGTATGCTGATAGATAATATGCCTGAAAATTAGGTGATATCTTGGTTAAAGATAAGCTATCTATGTGGCACTGGAAGCCATGAAAGTATATGAGCATGCTCGAAAAGAGTACATGAAATAAGAAGAGAGTCCATGATAGAACCCAGAGAAATATGAAAAGTTAAATGATGGACAGAGCAAGAGGAGACCAAGAGGGATACCAGAAAAATATAAGGAAAACCAAATACTTATGCTGTCAACCAAACTACACACTATATTTTTAAAAATGGTCAAACATGGTCAAATGTTTAAGAAGACAGGTGAGATAAAACTATAAGGAATCCTTCAGAATAGCATAAAGCAAATTTGTTGTGACCTTGACAAAAATGGTTTTAATATAGTGGTTGAGAAAGAAGATTATAGTTAACTAAAGAATTATCATAAGAACATGGATACAGTTGAGTTTGAACAACTTCTATTTCTTCAACATCTCTAATAATGATGTCTTCTATTTCACTATTACCAGAATAAGTCAAACTGAATAAATAATATTATATAAACCATCTATGCAAAGAACCTAAAATACAGAAGTTTAATTAATGAATGTTAAGCTAGATATATAGGAAGACAAGTGTGCATTAACTATATATCTATATATATCTATATATATATAATCACTAATAATTAGAATCACTGGTCCATATGAAAGCAAATTGATGTTTTAGGTAAGGAAGCAGCTCTTTCTGTTCAGGTTCACCTTACTATCTAATCTGTCTCTATATTTATCCTGTCACATAAGGTAACCTTTATTTTGGATTTAGGAAAAATACTGGGAAATATTAATACAAACATTAAAGCTATTAACAAAATGAGGTTTTGAATGCAGTCACACAGATAAGCTGTAACAGAGGGAATAACCTGAAAATGTTTTAAGAGCTGTCTCTTCAAACGCCTCCCCCCACCCATTCTTTTGGGGAATTAAAACTTGGATCCCTGCCCAAGGCTAGCAATCAGAAGGGGAGGAGAGTGTTGTTTGTTTTTGTTTCTTTCTTTCTTTTTGTACCACTGGAGATGGCTCAACAGAATTGGCCAGGCAAAGGTCACAAGATTGTCTTGCTGTGGAGATGGACTCAATCAGGATAATCAACTACAGTTAAACAGCAATAGCCTCAAGCTGAAAACTCCCTTTAAAAGCTCTGTATTTCTGCTGATAGACAAGACAATAGTACTTTAAGACAAGAGTGTGCCAACCTCCTTGCTTGCTGGCAAATTAATGAACTCCTTCCTTCTCCTCAAACTGCTTGTCCTCATTCTTCTGATATGGCCTCAGGCACAAGTGCCAAACAGTAACAAAGCCATAAATATAACTTCAGACATGATTTTGGAACCAGAAAGTCCTGGATTTGCAAGCTAACTCAACATTACTGTGATGTTGCATTGTTGCATAGTTTACTATTTTTAAGCTTCAGTTTCATCCTCAAAATGAGGGTACTAATAGCTATCTTACTGTGGACTGTTTTACTCTTCTAAGGTATAAATACAATTAACAAATTTAAACAAATTTCCAGAAAGAGCTTCTGAATCCACTGTACAACAGAAACCAAAATAAAATATTTTAAAGAGTTTTTTCCCCATGATTTTGCGTTTATATTTCATTATATTAATTTATAGCAAAATATTTTCAGTCTTTGAACCCTTATTCTTCTGGCTCTCAAATCTCAGATACTAAAATGATCATTCAAAGTCAGTACATATGTAATATATAGCTTTGGTATTCAAGATGATAATGAATTGACATATCCTGAAAGGGCAGAAGTAAAAATACAAAAGAAGCATAATTTTTTAAATAATATATACAAGTGAAGAAAATAATAATGTAAATGATAAATGTCTTACAATACATACAACTGTCTCTATTTTGGTTACATCCTTACCTGTGGATGTTCTGGGATGATAATAGTTGCCTTTTGTCCACCTGAATCTGAAACTACTGCTTTACTTATTTCTTTCTCCAATGGTACATTTTTTTTAATCTTCACCTTTAACTTTTACTTGACTGTTACTCATTTTCATTGTTGGTCTTTCCCTCACTTTTAAGTAACTCCTTCTCTTGATTTAGGAAATGGTCGAGTTGATGCTTAGCTCTTTCAGCTTCCTGTTTTTTTAAAAAAATATCACTTTAACAAGCATTGTTTTCTTGCTATTTTCCTACAAATATTACAACCTTCAGGAATCTGCATATATTTATGCCCACGTTATTTCTCAACTCTTATTCTTACTGAGTTGGAGGAAGCTAAGTCAATCAGTAGTTTAACAATTCCACAATCAAAATTGAAAGCTATAAAGAAACCTCTTTCACTTCTGAATGCTATTTTTATACCCAGGAGTTTCTCCTGGTTGTTATCTTTTTAAGGCTCTAATTAATACACAAGCAGAATAAAAATTAATACAAAGTATACATTATAAAAAGTGATAGATTTTAACCAAGAAAATTAAAACTCAAAGAATGAAAGAAAATATGGAAAATGAATAACATAGGTTAAAATTTTCTTTAAAATGTCACTTTTTATAATTTCTATTTAGTTATACAAATAACGTATATGTATAAAGTAATATATAAATCAACAAAAAGAAAATTCAAAAATAATCTTACCACATACAGAAAAATCACTATGAAGATTTTGATGTATATCCTTTCTAATTATTTCGAAATATATCTAGTACATATATGCATATATTTCTTAAAATTTTTATCTAGATGGGATAATACTATGCCATACTTAAATAATGTCATATATGTTTCTATGACAATAAATATACATTTAAATCAGAATAGGTAACAAAACATTTACTATATCATAATTTATTCAAATTCCTTAACAATGGAAATTTATTTTGAAATAAATTTTTGCTATTAAAACACATTTCATTATACATACTTGTGCAAAATCTCTGTACATGTTTTCCTTCTTTAGAATAAACTTTTAGAATGAGACTTATAGAGTGAAAAGACTATAGCTTTCTAAGTTTTGCCCTACCTTTACTTGACAGAAAAGATCTATCTTGCCCGATCTTTTCTTGATTGAATAGAAAAGTATCAATTCAAACTTTTTTGATAATAGAAGCACATGAAACGTTGCTCATTTCAGCATACACCCACCAATATTAGATATTTCTCTTCCTTAAATTTTTACCAAAATGGTAGCTAACAAAGTATCTATCCCACTGTAATTTTAAATTGCACTTATTTGACAACTAGTGAGGTTACATATATTTATATGCATTTATTGGTCATGGATATTTCTGAATCATGACTTGTCTATTTGTGTCCTCTATGTTGGGAAGGACTATCCATATTTCTTGTAGGTTTACAAAATATCTTCATATAAAACATTTTCCATTTATCTTTCTATCTTATAATTTTACCATAAAAAGTTTTAAATTTATATATAAAATACTAAATTTTTATATTCATTTGAATCTGTTTCTAAGCTTTCTATTGAGTACCAGAACTAGAACCACAGTGTTGTAATTATTGTAGATTTACATTATATATCTATTTTTTGGCGACTGGATCTTCTTTAATTGTTCTTTATCTGCATAATCACCAACTACTTTTCTCATTATACCTTATAATAATTTTGTTAAGCTCCAAAATAATTCCATTTATATCTAAAAATAAATTGCTTTAAGATGTACAACAGTTTGGAAACATGGAAAATGGAAATATTAATAATAGCTTTCAAGACCAAAATTACAAATTTCCATTTCTTCACTATTTTGTCTACGCCCCTTGGTAAAGTCTTATATCTTCATTGATATAAAACTGTGTGTATTTTTTTTTTAAAATATGCTATCCTAATGTCATTTAGACTAATATTATGAGTAAACTTTTTCTATTATGTTTTCTGAATAATATATTTCAACAAGCATTTTCTAAATGATTGTTGCAGATAAAAAGAAAATCTATTGCGTGTTATTTTCTATCCTATTTTAAAAACAATCTATTTCCTCCTCAACCAACTTTTTCAACACATCACTAATAACTTTATTATGTATTTTTCAGAAAAAAAATTTTAAAGCAGTATTCTACTTTTTTCTTTTTTAATTTTGGCATATTATGGGGGTACAGATTTCAAAGTTTCAATAAATGCCCATTCCCCCCGCCCTCCACAAGTCTGAGTCTCCAGCATGACCATACCACACATGGTGCACTTCTTACTCATTATATATGTATATACCCACCCCCCTCTCCCTTCCGACCTGCCCAATACCCTATTACGGTGGTACCTATGTGTCCACTTAGGTGTTGCTAAGTAAATACCAATTTCCTGGTAAGTATATGTGGTGCTTGTGTTTCCATTCTTGGGAAACTTCATTTAATAGTATGGGTTCCAGCTATAACCAGAAAATATGAGATGTGCTATATCACCGTTATTTCTTAGAGCTGAATAGTACTCCATGGTACACATATGCCACATTTTGTAAAACCATTCTTGGAATGATGGGCACTTGGGCTGTTTCCAAAGCCTTGCACTTATGAATTGTGCTGCTATAAACATTCGAGTGCAGGTGTATTTTTTGTAGAGTGTCATTGGATCATTTGGGTAGATGCCCAGCAATGGGATTGCTGGATCAAATGGTAGATCACTTGTATCGCTTTAAGGTATCACGATATTGCTTTCCACAAGAGTTAACTAGTTGCAGTCCCACAGTGTAGGAGTGTTCCTCTCCTCCGCATCCATGCCAGCATTTATTGTGAACATTTTTGATAAAGCATTCTCACTGGGGTTAAGTGATATCTCATTGTGGTTTGATTTGCATTTCCTGATAATTAGAGATGTTGACAATTTCATATGTTGTTGGCCATTCTCTGTCTTCTTTAGAAAAGTTTCAGTGAAGTCCTTTGCCCACTTTTTATAGGGTTATTTGATTTTCTTGCTGAGTTGTCATGAGTTCTAAGTATTCTAGTTATCGAGTCCCTTATCGGAGCGTAGGATGCAAAATTTTCCCATTCTGTAGGTTGTCTTTACTTCATGCTATTCTTTGGCTGTGCAGAAGTTTGTAGTTTGATCATATCCCATTTATTTATTTGTTGCTGCTGTGATTGCCTTTGGGACTTCTTTCTAATTCTTGCCCAGGCCGATGTCTAGGAGAGTGTTTCTAACATTTCCTCTAGAATCTATAGTTCATAATTAGGTTAAGTCTGTTATCCAGCGTGAGTGATTTTAATGAGAGGTGAAAGGTGTGGGTCCTGTTTAGCCTTCTACAGGTGCTATCCAGTTTCCCAGCACCATTTATTGAAAAGGATTCTTTTCCCCAGCTATGTTTTGTCTGCTTTGTCAAAGATTAGATGGGCTATATGAGATGGTTAGTATCAGATTCTCATCTCTCTCT